CACTGTAAGCAGATGGAAACACTGGCAGGATTTTGATTTCACTTATAGTGTGACAATTACCATGGAAAATATGGACTGATATGACAGAGTATGGGAAAAGATGCAGTTTAAAATGTTTAAAATGGGACTCCAGCGAGGGGAAAGTCCTGAGATGCGGAGGAATCTCTGTATATTGATGTGTATTTTATCATTTTTCTTATAACTTTGTTTTGTAAAATCACATAAAAATGAATTTCAAAATAACAGTCACCCCAGAATCCTGGGAGGTGTAGTTTGTTAAGGGTGCAGAGAGCTAAAATTCCCAGAGTTCCCTGGGAAGGAGTCTGGCGCGTCCTGGTTTCATCATTATCAATAACAACAACTGAATTTGTATACTGCCCTGCAACTGCAGACCTCATGGCGGTTCGCCACGTAAAATCACAACATGAAAACCACAAAATATATAGATAAATAAGAACAGCAGCAAGCCAATAACCCCTTGCAGAACGCATTTAACAGGGCATTGGATGCCGGAGCGTGAGACTCTTAATCTCATGGTTGTGGGTTCGAATCCCACATTGGGCAACAGATTTCCGCATTTCAGGGGGTTGTTGTTGTTTAGTCGTTTAGTCGTGTCCGACTCTTCGTGACCCCATGGACCAGAGCACGCCAGGCACTCCTGCCTTCCACTGCCTCCCGCAGTTTGGTTAAACTCATGCTGGTAACTTCGAGAACACTGTCCAACCATCTCGTCCTCTGTCGTCCCCTTCTCCTTGTGCCCTCCATCTTTCTCAACATCAGGGTCTTTTCCAGGGAGTCTTCTCTTCTCATGAGGTGGCCAAAGTACTGGAGCCTCAGCTTCACGATCTGTCCTTCCAGTGAGCACTCAGGGCTGATTTCCTTCAAAATCAGCACCATAATTCAAAAGCATCCATTCTTCGGCGATTCAGGGGGTTAGCTTAGATGATTCCTGCGGTCCTTTCCAACTCGACGATTCTGAGATTGTTAAATCACTCTGGGAAGTGTAGTTCCTTGAAGGGAGCCTCTTAGCAACTCTCAGCACCCTCAACAAACTACAGCTCCCAAACTTCTTTGGGGAAAGTTGTAGCTGTTTAAATGCTTGCCGTGAACGTGGCCGGGGGGGGGGGGACAAAATCTTTCTTTGCACCTCACGCACCTTTAGAAATCTCCCGGCATGGCCTTCCCCCCTCCTAAATCACCTTGTTTTTCTAAAGACTGGACGCCCGAAAAAGTCACTCTCTCTCCTTGCCTGGAAGGCGTTGCAATCCTGCGATCGCTGATCACACCAAACCGAGTTGAACTGAGGCAGCTCCTCCTGCTCAAAGGTCAGCGATCGCACATCTTTCTGAAGCATTAGTCAGAAGCTCTGAGTCACAGCATTTTGGACGGTGAATTTTGGGAGCTGGCAGAATGGGGGCAAGCTATCTGCCAAGGAAGCAACGGCAGGGAGCATTGCTTTTCAGAGAGTGCCCTCTGCTGGACTTCTGAATCTATGACCGTACTGCAGGCATCCCAAGTCAAAAACGATAACAGTTCAAACAGTCCATCTCCCTCCGCAGGGGGACTCTGGGAATCGTAGCTCTGGGTGGGGAATAGGAACCTCTTAGCAGCTAACAAGCACCCTTGAGAAACTACAGCTCCCAGAATTTTTCAGGGGAAGCCACAGCTGTTTAAAGTGTTACCATAAGTGCTTTAGATGTATGGTCTGAATCTGACGTATAGATGGTATTTAACACCAGCTAGACTTGCCAAGGGGCGTGGGTGGCGCTGTGGTCTAAACCACTGAGCCTAGGGCTTGCCAATCGGAAGGTCGGCGGTTCGAATCCCCACGGCGGGGTGAGCTCCCATTGCTCGGTCCCTGCGCCTGCCCACCTAGCAGTTCAAAAGCACATCAAAGTGCAAGTAGAGAAATAGGTACGGCTCCAGCGGGAAGGTAAACAGCGTTTCTGTGCACTGCTCTGGTTTCACCAGAAGCGGCTTAGTCATGCTGGCCACATGACCCGGAAAAACTGTCTGTGGACAAACGCCGGCTCCCTCGGCCTTTAAAGCGAGATGAGCACCGCAACCCCAGAGTCATCTGCAACTGGACTTGACTTACGGTAACTGTCAAGAAAAGGAAGGTATTTTCTATCACATGTGGTGGACTTGTAAAGAGGTAAAGGCTTTCAGGGAAATGGTACATAATGAGTTAAAGAAAATGTTTAGTGAGCTGAAAAATGTACAAGTGTTTTCTCTGCTAGAAAGGCTATGCAGCTCACTTAATTTTGTATTTCTTCCATGCATGTAAATTTTAATCTACAGATTTAATCCTCAGTCCATCTCCTACAAGGGTGTCAGGGAGAATTCGGAGGAGCAAGTGACAGAAGAGGTGGAGCAGGGGCTTGGGGATGCCGTGGAGCCCTTCAACTGCCCAGAGACAGAGGAAGTGTAAGAGAGGGCGGAGATTAGCCAGGAGGAGGAAGGGCTCAGGGATGCTACAGAGCCCTTCAACCGCCCAAAGGCTCAGGAAGGGAGCTCAGACTCTGGAAGGGAGGGGGCTTTTAAATCAGCACAGACAAGGAGGGAAATGAAACGTAAGGATCAAAGACATCTCGTGCGATTCCCACGCCTACTTTGCTGGCGCAGGAATTGAAGGAAGCCACTCCCCGAATCTCACTCAATGGGTTCAGACGCATAATCCTGAACTGTACCTGTTTCTTGTAGATATGTAATAATGGATGGAGCATCTACTTTGAATGCGGAACATCCAATTCTCTGTGCCCAGCATCTCGTCACAAAGCAGCTTCTAATCTCCAGTAACCATTACACAACCTATTCTGGTTTAAATTCAAAAGAAATGACCAGCCTCAACCTGGCGCCCGACAGATGCTGTAGCTTGTCAGCCCAAACAGTCATTCATCTGGGATGATGATGGAAGCTGCTGTCGAACAACATCTGGATGGCTACAGATTGGAGAAGGCTGAGCCAAAAAGCTCTCTCCCAACCAAGGTGAAAGACTTCTGGGAGAAGATTTATAATGAGTTGGAAAAAATGCTGAAATATACATTTGTTAAGAAACCAGAGGCCTTTCTTCTTGGAATAATAGGTTTGGAACTGCCCAAAAAAGATGTTAGATTGTTTTTGTATGCCACAACTGCAGCTCGAATTTTATTAGCCAAGAATTGGAAAACACAAGAGATATACCAACAGTGGAGGAATGGCAGATGATGGACTTTCCAGAGCTAGCCGACCTGACCGGAAGAATCCGTGATCAGAAGGAGGAGCACCAGGAAGAATGGAAGAAATTTAAAGACTATTTATCCAAATATGGTAAGATAAATTAAATAGAAATACTTGCAAAATAACAGATAAGCTAAGGATTTAAATATGTGCATTATATAACATTATGTTTAAAGTTAAGATGAAAAGTGATAAAGATGTTAAGAGGATTAAGTTAATTTTATGTGATATTACGGTATTTTGGAAAACCGTTACAATGATATATAATGAAATTCAGTCAAGGGAATTTGAGGAAGTCATTCAGCTATGATAATAACATGGGATTAAGTTTAGTAATGATGTGTGTTTGTTTAAAAATGTGGAAAATTACTAAAAAATGGGGGGGGGGAGTTCTCTTCCAACCAAGAAAGGGAACCTTTCTTTTTGGTTATCATAATATTATAGAATTGTAGAGTTTGAAGGGACCACGGGGGTCATCTAGTCCAACCCCCTAGTCCAACGCAGGAATCTCTTTGCCCAACATGGGCTTGAACCCACAACCCTGAGATTAAGAATCTCATGCTCTTACGGACTGAGCTATCCTAACCTTGTCATAAGAATAATTAATATGGACTGAATAAAGTGGATGAAAATATATTTGTTATAATAGGTTAGAACCAGAAGTTAAGATAAATGAAAGAAGGCAGGATTTTGCTGAAGCAAGATATACATGGGAATACAAAAAGGGGAGGTGTGGGAAGTCAAGGAAAATAAGCAAATGAGTTTAAAATTGTGAAATTGAAGTGCTCTAACTTTTTCTTTTTTAGCCATTTTGTTTTTTGTTTTGTTTTTTGTGTTTTTGTATGATTTTCATCTATATTTTTTTCTTAGTTTTTTCTACATTCTGTATGTAATTTTTTTAATATGTATTTTTTTGTTGTAATTCTACTTTGCAAAATTTTTAATAAAACCAACATAATATTATAGAATTGTAGAGTTTGAAGGACCACGGGGTATCTAGTCCACCCCTAGTCCACGCAGGAATCTCTTTGCCCAACGTGGGGCGTGAACCCACAACCCTGAGATTAAGAATCTCATGCTCTTACCGACTAAGCTATCCTAACCTACCAGAAAATAAAGCACTGGAGTGGCATATTTACACATAAGTGTGTGAATAAACAACTGGACGTCGTTAATAATAATAATAATAATAATAATAATAATAATAATAATTTATTTATACCCCACCCATCTGGCTGTATTTCTCCTGCCACTCTGGGCGGCTTCCAACAAAACACTAAAATACAATAACCTATTAAACATTAAAAGCTTCCCTAAACAGGGCTGCCTTCAGATGTCTTCTAAAAGTTTGGTAGTTATTTTTCTCTTTGACATCTGGTGGGAGGGCGTTCCACAGGGCGGGCGCCACTACTGAGAAGGCCCTCTGCCTGGTTCCCTGTAACTTGGCTTCTCGCAGCGAGGGAACCACCAGAAGGCCCTCAGCGCTGGACCTCAGTGTCCAAGCAGAACGATGGGGGTGGAGACGCTCCTTCAGGTATACTGGACCGAGGCCATTTAGGGCTTTAAAGGTCAGCACCAACACTTTGAATTGTGGTTGGGAACGTACTGGGAGCCAATGTAGGTCTTTCAAGACCGGTGTTATATGGTCTCGGCGGCCACCCCCAGTCACCAGTCTAGCTGCCGCATTCTGGATTAGTTGTAGTTTCCGGGTCACCTTCAAAGTAGCCCCACATAGAGCGCATTGCAGCCCACATAGAGCGCATTTCAAATCTTGATCCTACCTGAATTCTGTATTTTGAGGTTCGCTCTTCGGTGTGGATCTCGCTGTCCTTTCACGGTCAGCTCCCGTCTGCCTCGTAAGAAAGTTCAAGCGGCTGCTCGCCTTATTCATCTCCGCAGGGTACAGGGGCGCAGCTTTCCTTTCTTCAACTGGGCGTCTTTCGGACATCAGTTTGGCAAACGGGCCTTCGATGCTTTGGGCTGAATTTCTTGCCCCTTCCCCGCCGGCATTTGTGTACGAGCCAGTCAGGATCATGGATGAATAGTCCTTGGTTACGTCGATGGAACGGCCAAGGTGCGGAGAAAAGAGATTTGCAGATGGCCTGGAGATTCCTGCCCCCTCTTGCGAATCCCCCATTGGAGCAGCGAAACGGTCTCCAGTTTCCTTTTCCTCTCCGGGTTTAAATGTTCTCCGGATTCCAGATGGTTGTTTCGTGCGCCGTCTTTTCAAGGATTCCTGAAATAAATTGTTGAGACAGCGGTAGTAAGAACACGAGGCTTTTAATCTCAGGATTATGAATTTGAGTCCCATGTTAGGCAAACGATTCCTGCATTGCGAGGGTTGGACTAGATGAAGCTATATAGCTATATAGATGAAGCTATATAATAATGTTGGAGGAGACTCTTGAGAGTCCCATGGACTTCAAGAAGATCAAACCTCTCCATTCTAAAGGAAATCAGCCCTGAGTGCTCACTGGAAGGACAGATCCGGAAGCTGAGGCTCCAAGACTTTGGCCACTTCATGAGAAGAGAAGACTCCCTGGAAAAGACCCTGATGTTGGGAAAGATGGAGGGCACAAGGAGAAGGGGACGACAGAGGACGAGATGGTTGGACAGTGTTCTAGAAGCTACCAGCATGAGTTTGATCAAACTGCGGGAGGCAGTGGAAGACAGGAGTGCCTGGCGTGCTCTGGTCCAGGGGGTCACGAAGAGTCGGACACGACTAAACGACTAAACAACAACAACAACAACAACAACAACAACAACAACAACAACAACATAATAATAATAATAATAATAATAATAATAATAATAATAATTTATTTATTTATTTATACCCTGTCCATCTGGCTGGGTTTCCCCAGCCACTCTGGGAAGGTTCCAACTGAATATTAAAAGCAATACAGCATCAGACATTGAAAACTTCCCTAAAAAGGGCTGCCTTCAGTTGTCTTTTAAAAGTAAAATAGTTGTTTATTGCCTTGACATCTGATGGGAGGGCGTTCCACAGGGCAGGCGCCACTACCGAGAAGGCCCTCTGCCTGGTCCCCTGTAACCTCGCTTCTCGCAACGAGGGAACCGCCAGAAGGCCCTCGGAGCTGGACCTCAGTTTCCGGGCTGGATGATGGGGGTGGAGGCGCTCCTTCAGGTATACAGGCTTTGCTACAATTCTATAGGCCTTGATGCACCAAAGCACCCTGAAACTGCATGCTTTTAGAATAAAATGAGAATATACACACAGCAGTGTTTTTTATGACAGAGGGGTACCTGACCTACACTTCTCCTTTTCTGTACAAGAGACATTGACAGCTCGACTCCTCAAACCATCTAAAAGTGGCCCTAGGATGAGCCACACATGATGGCAAAGAATCAAAAAGCTGTAGAGTTGGAAGGGGCACCGAGGGTCATCTAGTCCAACCCCCTGCAATGGAAGAATCTCAGCACACGGTCTCCCATCCAGTTTGGAACCATGTCAGACCCTGCTTAGCTTTGCAAATGTGCAGTTTTAATTGCTGCACCATAGGGATTAGGATGGTAGAATCTGCCTTACATTGAGCCAGATTCTGGGTCCATGTAGCCCAGAATAGGTGGTTTCTCTTCAGGGCAAAATGGGGCACTGCCCTTCTCCCAGCCAGGGTTCAACACTGTTCCTGTCACCCCCAACATAATGACCCACATAATCACCAATTAGATCACTCAGTCTGCCTCTGGTGGCCAATCAGCTGCAAGTCTGCAGACAAATGCACCCAATGAGCAGTCACTATGTGTTGCTAGGCCCCGCCCACTTGTCACCTGGTGAAAGCCATTTTCCCCCAAACAATTACTTTCCCTTACAGGTAAAGCCTGGGTAGGTCACTCACTGGAACCCAGATCTCCTCCATTAACAGCACATACTTAAAGAAAACAAAAGAGATTATTGTGGACTTTAGGAAATGTAAATTGAATATTCAGCCACTTATTATTATGGGGAAGTGTGTGGAACAGGTCTTCGCCGAGGAATTGATGCTTTTGAATTCTGGTGCTGGAGGAGACTCTTGAGAGTCCCATAGGCTGCAAGAAGATCAAACTGATCCATTCTGAAGGAAATCGGCCCTGAGTGCTCACTGGAAGGACAGATCCTGAAGCTGAGGCTCCAATACTTTGGCCACCTCATGAGAAGAGAAGACTCCCTGGAAAAGACCCTGATGTTGGGAAAGATGGAGGGCACAAGGAGAAGGGGACGACAGAGGACGAGATGGTTGGACAGTGTTCTCAAAGCTACCAGCATGAGTTTGACCAAACTGCGGGAGGCAGTGGAAGACAGGAGGGCCTGGCGTGCTCTGGTCCATGGGGTCACAAAGAGTCGGACACGGCTAAACAACAACAGAGCTGTCCTACTTAACAAACTATCTGCTGCATTTTAAAAGATGTGGCTTTTGTCCTTCCACAGATTGGTCCAGCTCTTTGGCTCTTCAGATAAACCCCGTTCAGGTGACTTTCGCAAGTGCCTTGGAAAGGTCCATGGCTCAGTGGGAGAACATCTGCTCTATCCAAAGAAGGTCTTGGGTTTCACCCCCAGCATCTGCAGGTAGGGTTGGGAATGTATATCCCAGGTCTGAAACCCTGGAGAGTCCCTGCTGCTCAGTGTAGACAATATGGAGCTACATAGACCGATAATAATAATTATAATTAATAAATAAATAAATAAATAAATAAATAAATAAATAAATAAATATTTATACCCCGCCCTTCCCGGTTCAAAAACTGGGCTCAGGGTGGCTAACAACAAATTTAAAACACTTAATTATAAAAGCAGCATAAAATACAGTATAAAAACATAAATAACAATAAAATTCAAAAATCAATTTAGGCGAAATAAGCATTAGATAATCCCCAGGGCTAGTTGGCTGAATTGGTCCTACTTGGGCCAGCGAGGAGGCCAGGGGAGAATTAGCTGTGGGGTCTCAGAGCAGGTGATCTTCATAAAAGGGAGGTGGAGGGAAGAGAAGGGGGGAAAAAGATAAGACTGAATTCAAATTAAAGGCCAGGCAGAATAGCTCTGTCTTACAGGCCTGACGGAAGGTCTCGTGGGACAGAGCATTCTACCAGGTCGGAGCCATCACTGAGAAGGCCCTGGCCCTGGTAGAGGATAGTCTGACTTCCTTAGGGCCCGGGACCTCTAAACTATGTTCAGCTGGTACAAAGTTGAAAATCAGCTCTATCCTTATTTCAGACAACGTGATATATCGGTTTATCACGATGTTTAGTTGGTCATGTATCGCTATGTTGAAAACCAGATATCGCCCAGCAATCATCGGCTCTAGGCAGCATATCCTATCACTAGGGATGGTGGCAGTGGCAACCCAACAAACAGAGGCACACAGATCTCGCCATCTCTGCACTGCTCAAGCCTTTTAACTGGAAATGGCAGGATTTGAACCTGGAACCTTCTGAGGGTAAAGCAAGTAAGTGATGTCTCCTGCTTACTCGGGATTCAGCAGAGGCATCAGCTCAACTTCAACAATTTGGCTCAGTGTCCTTTTCTTGAGAGCGGTGGCACAGATGACTCTGGAGGAATCGAAATGGGGACCCGAGTGCGAAATCAGCACGTTCCCCACTGGCAATTCCCAGCAACTAGTTATTCAGAGGCAATCTGTCAAAGCAGCATTCTGGAGCAGCTAGATTTGTGCCGCTATTCATGTGGCTGCAAATGTGTGGATTTTTTAAGAAGGCCTTTTAAGGTCTGATAGGCAAATACGTCCGTTCGGTTTCTCTCATTTCCTCACTCTTCCAGCCTTATTATGTTCAGTTCTCGACATATCTACATCAGTCTGCATTGATGTTTAAAAAGGGAAAATTCAGCCGCGTTTTTGTCTGAATTTCTTCTACAACACATACTTCGTATGCATTTTGCCTAATATATACATTTTTACAGAGCTATTTCCCTTAATACAATTCATTCTTGGACATTATTCTCACCAAAGTATGCAGAACATATACGCACACTATAAAATGACATTGCCAAATTCAGAGCAGTGGAAATTTTGAAGGAGGGCTGCTTTTTCCCCAGTTCCCATAATGTTTCAGGAAGTAAAAATTTGGGAGGTTCTCTCTTAAATGTCAGCTGAATTTAATTTCTCCCTAGTCTGGGGAGTCCAGCTAAGGAAGTCCCTGTCTTCAGGTTCTGAGGAAACCATCAACGACCTGAGACGACTTTGGGGTGTTTGTTTTTTTCCTATGTTTAAATATTTTTCAATGTTGGGGGTTTTCTTGTTCTGTTTTCATATCTTAAATTGCAAAATTTTCTTGGGCTGCCTTGTCAGAAAGGTGGTACAGACGTGCAATAAATAAAATTATTTAATTTTTTTTATAATGATAAAAATAACAAAATGTTTAGAATGAGAGCAAAGAACCTCTGGAGAGTTGACTGGGGGCCCCGCCATCATTCCTCTGCCAAATAGACCACCGCTCCTGGCTTGGGGTTGCTCCCTCGTGGCATTCATAGACAGCTCAGGTGTCCTCAAGTCCCCGTAGTGGTGGCTCGCCGGTTTCTCTCCCTCAGAAGGAGAGCTGCTCTCGAATGCCGTCCCAGCCTTGCACTTTTCGCTTTTCTTGTGCAGGTCTCGCTTGGGGATTACTTCCCCATCGATCTCGTAGCTGCAAGGACACAGACGCAAGGAAGTCTGTCATTTAGACCGCCTGAATGAAGTTCATGGACCACTGATGGTTCTACAGACTACTGTACAGTGAGAAGCAAAGATCACCAGTGTCGAAGCAATGGTTCTTCAACATCAACTTTGTTGGACTGGTCATGTTGTGCGGATGCCTGATCGTCTGCCAAAGCAACTACTCTATTCCGAACTTAAAAATGGAAAGTGTAATGCTGGTGGTCAACAAAAGAGGTTTAAAGACTGTCTCAAGGCAAATCTCTAAAAATGTAGTATAAAAAGGTAAAGGGACCCCTGACCATTAGGTCCAGTTGTGGCCGACTCTGGGGTTGCGGCGCTCATCTCGCTTTATTGGCCAAGGGAACCGGCGTACAGCTTCCGGGTCATGTAGCCAGCATGACTAAGCCGCTTCTGGCGAACCAGGGCAGCGCACAGAAACGGTGTTTACCTTCCTGCCGGAGCGGTACCTATTTATCTACTTGCATTTTGACGTGCTTTCGAACCGCTAGGTTGGCAGGAGCAGTATAAACACCAACAATTGGGCAACTCTTGCCTGCGAGCGCTCCAGTTGGAGAACAGCCTTTACCAAAGGTGTCATGGGCTTTGAAGACACTTGAACTCAGGACGCAAGGGAGAAACGTGCTAAGAAGAAGGCACGCTTGGCAAATCCACACCGTGATCAACTGCCGCCCGCAAACCAATGTCCCCACTGTGGAAGGACGTGTGGATCCAGAATTGGCTTCCGCAGTCACTTACGGACTTATTGTTTATATTTATGGAACACAATCTTACTCAGCTACGAGGGATCGCCAAAGTACAGTCCACAGTATGGGAACGGCTGCCTGGAGAGCCATGGAGTCGAATAGAAGCACACTTTGGTTTAGAAACTCTGTCTCATGGTTTGAGCAGGCATGAATTTCATTTCAGTGAGCTTTCTCTCTTCCGTTCATCAGGCATAGAGGCATAAATAAAACCATAATATGACAAAGCAGCCACCAGTGACCTTGCTTCCAAGGAAACCAAGCCCTCTGGGATCTCTTACTATTCAGAGATTGGGGTGTGCACAGCACTATAATAATAGGAAGGCAACAACAGTATACAGTGGTACCTCAGGTTACATACGCTTCAGGTTACAGACTCCGCTAACCCAGAAATAGTACCTCGGGTTAAGAACTTTGCTTCAGGATGAGAACAGAAATCGTGCTCCGGCGGCGCGGCAGCAGCAGGAGGGCCCATTAGCTAAAGTGGTGCTTCAAGTTAAGAACAGTTTCAGGTTAAGAACAGACCTCCGGAACGAATTAAGTATTTAACCTGACGTACCACTGTATTGCGTTGTTGAGTTTGGGATATATGTTGAAAACCATCATGAATCCCGACAAGACATAAGTACGGTTTTGGGGAGACAGGGGGTGGGCAGGTGTGGAGGACTCCCTGGTCCTAAATGGGGCAACTGTGCCCCTAAAGGACCAGGTGCACAGCCTGGGAGTCATTTTGGACTCACAGCTGTCCATGGAGGCACAGGTTAATTCTGTGTCCAGGGCAGCTGTTTACCAGCTCCATCTGGTACGCAGGCTGAGACCCTACCTGACCGCGGACTGTCTCACCAGAGTGCTGCATGCTCTGGTTATCTCCTGCTTGGACTACTGCAATGCGCTTTACGTGGGGCTACTTTTGAAGATGACTCAGAAACTGCAATTAATCTAGAATGTGGCAGCTAGACTAGTGACTGGGGGTAGCTGCCGGGACCATATAATACCGGTCCTAAAGTATCTTCCATGTTTCCAAGCACAATTTAAAGTGTTAGTGCTGACCTTTAAGCCTTGGCCTAGTATACCTGAAGGAGCGTCTCTACCCCCATCGTTCTGCCCGGACACTGAGGTCCAGTGCCGAGGGCCTTCTGGCACTTCCCTCACTGTGAGAAGTGAGGTTACAGGGAACCAAGCAGAGAGCCTTCTCGGTGGTGGTGCCCGCCCTGTGGAATGCCCTCCCACCAGATGTTGGGGAGATAAAGAACTACACAGGTTTTAGAAGACATCTGAAGGCAGACCTATATTGGGAAGTTCTTAATGTTTGACCTTTTATTATGTTTCTATATGTGCTGTAAGCTGCCCAGACTCGCTAGGGAAACCCAGCCAGATGGATGGGGTATAAATAATAAAATTATTATTATGACTATTTATTTTTAACTAGATACCACCCAGCCCTAGTTATGTGGAACCTGTGCTATTTGCATCAATTGAAGAGGTCAAGCAGGCGCATTTGGGTGAGGCGATCTCGCAGGTCCTAAGGGCTTTAAATACTATCAATAACTACTTGAAGATCATCCAGTAGTAGTAATAATAATTTATTATTTATACCCCGCCCGGCTGGGTTTCCCCAGCCACTCTGGGCAGCTTCCAACAAAAGATTAAAAATACATCAAAACATCAGTCATTAAAATCTTCACTAAACAGGGCTGCCTTCAGATGTCTTCTAAATGTCAGATAGTTGTTTATTTCCTTGACATCTGATGGGAGGGCGTTCCACAGGGAGGGCGCCACTACCAAGAAGGCCCTTTGCCTGTATCTTCGCTTCTTGCAGTGAGGGAACCGCTGGAAGGTCCTCAGAGCCGGACCTCAGTGTGCGGGCTGAACGATGGGGGTAGAGATGCTCCTTCGGGTATACTGGGCCAGTCCACAACTGGAACAGACCTCTGAGTCCAGGCATTACATAAATGCACACAAGGCCTCACTCCTGTCAGCAATTGTGCTGCAGCATCCGTGCCTCAGTTGCGTGGGCAAAGGATGGAGAGAGGTTTGTGTATGTAGAAACCCCTGACCTTCCTGTGGCTGGAATCACCTGTGCAAAGGTCAGAGTCACATCCATTGCTTCACCCACTAGCCAACCTGGCCCCACCCAACACCGGTATGTGGTCCCTAGAAGGATCTCCAAAAGGGAATGCAGAGGTGAAAAATGCTCTCCACTTCTGAGTTACACCAAGAAGATTCATCTGTAGCGACATTTCTTGGCCCAAGAAAATGGATTTAGAATCAAAGCCCTTATCCATACCTGAAGGTCTCGGTTTTGCTTTTTCCAGGCCCAGTTTGCAAGTGGGCGTCTTCGTCAGAGAGATAATTCTTCAGGACAGAGTCCTCTGTACACCTGGGCTGGGGGAGCTTCTTCTGTGGGGCTGGCGGGCTCCCCTTAAGGCCCTTGGAGCCGCTCGTACGCTCCAGAAAATAGCTGGCCATGATTTCAAGGAGTGTTTTCAAGGGATTCTCCCTTGCCTGCAACAGAAAAGCTCAGCTGGTTAGAGAAAACCTCTGTCTTCCATTGAACCATTAACTGAGATATGTGAACAGAGGGACAGAGGAAGATTCTTCAGACTACCGGTTCAACGAGCTCAATATTGTCTACACCAGGGGTCAGCAAAGTTTTTGTGGCTTGGGCCGGTTCACGCATCTGCAAACACTATTTCCGGCGCGCCTTCCGGCACGGAGGAAGCATACGCAGCTTCCCACTGGCTGCAGGAGCTACCTGTTAAGTTGTGGGTGAATATACAGTGGTGCCCCGCAAGACGAATGCCTCGCAAGATGGAAAATCCGCTAGACGAAAGGATTTTCTGTTTTGGAGGTGCTTTGCAAAACGAATTTCCTATGGGCTTGCTTCACAAGATGAAAATGTCTTGCGAGTTCCTGCAGGTTTTTTTTCCTCCCCCCCCCTTTTTCCCAAGCCGCTAAGCCGCTTATCAGCTGATCCGCTAAGCCGCTTAACAGCTGATCGCTAAGCCGCTTATCAGCTGATCCGCTAAGCCGCTAATAGCGCTAATCCACTAAGCCGCTAATGGGCTTGCTTCGCAAGACGAAAAAACCGCAAGACGAAGAGACTCGCGGAACGGATTCTTTTCGTCTTGCGAGGCACCACTGTATCAGACGGCATAGCGATTCTTCAAACAGCTCTTGTTTATTCACAGGCCAGAACTGAACTGAACTGAAGGGTTCAATCAGCCTGCTTATATAGAGCTCCAGTACAACGTAACTGTAACAATTTTCTAAAACTATCCAATCACTGAACGTCACTTTCGATCTCTTATTTGCATAACTATCTACAGTGTCCCCCTGCTGGCCCAGGGTGAGAACTTCAGTACATAACACTACCCTTCTTCTCTTCCCGTGGTTCATTTTACATATCATATACATCCCTGCATATCTTACTATAACTGTTCAAATCTGTTTTCCACTTTCGCATCCATCAAAAATTATTTACTCTGTTGAATTTATCTTAATGCTGCCAGCGTTTTCAGCTGTGTACAGTTATTTTCCATATATTCAGTAAATGCTTTCCAATCTTCTTTAAATGTATGTTCTTCTTGCTGTCTTATTCTATATATTAAACCTGCAACTTCTGCATATTCTGTCAACTTAAGTTATCAACCCTTTTTAGGTGGGACCTCACTCACTGTCCGTTTATGGGCTAACAAAACATGGGCTGCAGTTGTTGCATACATAAATAACTGTAATGTGTATGAGTTACTCGTGCGTAAACTGGCGCCTCTCTAGGCTAAATTGCCTTGTTAAACCTTTCTGATTGCACAGTCCTTCTCATCGTGGCTGCCTCAGTCGCTAGCAGAATCCGTCAGTGGGCGTTTCTTAAACCTCTTCCAACATAAAAGCTGTTTGACACCCAGTCTCCTCCTCCTCTCACTGCGCGGGAGTCTTCTGCGCAGGGAGGGCGTGGGTAGCGGAGGACCTGTGCTCTCCTCACTGATGTCCAGTGAAGAGTCCTGGAGCCCTCTCTCCGATTCCCCCATCTGCCCCCCTTTATCCCTGGTGTTGCGCTGATTTGCTTCCCCCTCTACTGAGCTGCTTCTCCCCCTGCTGCTGGGTCCTTCGCCAGCATCATCTGGGAGCCTCCCCTTCGCCTCTCGCTCCGATGTCAGTTCCCTGACAATAACCTTTCCTGACACCTAGGAATTTCAGTCTGGGTTATCCTCGATAAAAAGGACTCTGGTGTGTGTGTTTTTTGGAAAAGTAGTTTTAAACATTTTTTTCAACTCATTATAAATCATTTACCAATACACTTTTACCTTTTTACATGTCCAGCGAGTTCCGTAGTTTATCTATGGAACGGCTGGCCTCATCTCCACCCGCCCTCAGGTTTCCAAAGGATCCGGGGAATTTTGTACAGAGGATTCATCTTCTCACCTTGTTTTGCTTGCACAAAAACTGGAGGTGCAAGACATTTCGCAGCTCGTTTCTGTTGTTGATGCTGAGAGCTGTTCGCGGCAATTCTTCGTCCATCACAACAATGGTTTTCTTCAAGCACTGCAGACGGAAGAGAGAGGATGGATGTGAAGCTGTACAGGATACGGACCTCTCCCCATCCTGTCTTAACAGTTCAGGACAACTTGTCGATAAAGTTCCTACAGAAAAATACTATCCGGTGAAGTTGGCATAGCACATAAAGGTGTAAAGGGACCCCTGACCATGAGGTCCACTCGTGACCGACTCTGGGGTTGCGGCGCTCATCTCGCTTTATTGGCCGAGGGAGCTGGCGTACAGCTTCCGGGTCATGTGGCCAGCATGACTAAGCCGCTTCTGGCGAACCAGAGCAGCACACGGAAACGCAGTTTACCTTCCCGCCAGAGCGGTACCTATTTATCTACTTGCACTTTGACGTGCTTTCGAACTGCTAGGTTGGCAGGAGCAGGGACCGAGCAACGGGAGCTCACCCCGTCGCGGGGATTCGAACTGCCGACCTTCTGATTGGCAAGTCCTAGGCTCTGTGGTTTAACCCACAGCACCACCCGCGTCCCTGGCATAGGGGCATGCAATAGGATTCTGTGCATAAAGCAAAGGTTGCCAACCTTTTGGGGTCTGTGGGCAGATTTTGAGTTTTGGAAGCAGGGTGGATTTGATTTAAATCAAAGCGATTTAAATCACGATTTAAATCACTAGTCAATAAGACTTGATTTAAATCATTTGTTTTACAGAAAGACTTATTCTTGCTGGTATAATCTTAATATTTACAACCAGAGGAAGGTTTATTTATTTTTTTGGAATAATAAATTTTCAGAGTAGTTTTTACAGTTATATCGAAAACTACTGATTTGGTTATACTATTAGAAATACATAGACAGATAATTATGAAATCATTGTGAGGTTTCATAAGTTAACTGTTTATATTTGGACAATTTTTCTGCTGTACTTTATTGGAAGGAGAAAATTAATCATTTCCTTAATCACCATTTAAGCAATTTATTTAACTAAAGCAATAACATTATAGCATATGTATCCATGTTTGTTAACTGATGTGGTTAAATATTTTTTTAAAAAAACTTAGACTGAGTTTTAGCAAACATGAAAAACTTAAATCCTTATTTCCCGATGACTAGCCTTTGGACTAGAATGTAACTTAAATAGAAAACTATCTTTATTAAGATTTCTCCTCCAAAAGCATTTTATTTTAAAAATCCGATTTAAATTTTTTTAAAAATCCGATTTAAATAAAAAAATCAATTTTTTAAAAAAATATTTATTTTTTAAATCACTGATTTTTATCCACCCTGTTTGGAGGAGAGGTTGCGGGTGTTTACAGCCCTATGCTTCTCCAGCGGTTCAGGATCCTCACCAGGGCTGGATCCTGACGAAGTACAGGAACCGTATTGAAGCGATAAGGTTAGCTGCTTTGCAACTTGTGGTGGGGGAAAATAACCAAACAGAACTGATACAATGCAAATGAAATCATATAACTTTGCAAGGCTGCCAGCAAAACCATTTCCCCCCCCAGGCTTCAATTTCTTTAAAACTGTGACATTATGGCGGGGGAAAAGCTGTATTGTAACTTTTGGGTTTGTTTGCGGGTTTTTTGTTGTTGTTTTTTTAAACCATTTAGAAAGGTTATATGATTTCATTTGCATTGTATCAGTTCTGTTTGTTTGGCCCCCCCCCCCACAAGTTGCAATATATATATTTTTATTGAGCTTGCAAGCTGCCCCCGATGATATGAAGTGGGGGCTAAGCGTGTAAATAAATGCATAAACAAACATAAACAAAGGATGCGGAGCAGTGGCGTAGCGTGGGTTGTCAGCACCCGGGGCAAGGCAAGTAATTTGCGCCCCCTAACCCATGGATTTGCGCCCCCTAACCCGTGGATTTCCGCCCCCTAACCTGTGGATTTGCCCTAACCCCAGATGTTGCGCCCGGTGCGGCCGGCCCCCCCTGCACCCCCCACGCTACGCCACTGATGCGGAGCGTTGGACTAGATGAGTCGCTTCCCACACGGCAATTCTATGATTCTGTGAAACTAACAAATAAGATAAATAATCCAGGCTTGGATTAGATGTGTGAAATGGATATGGGTCACAAAAGCAGACATGCATTTTTAATATTGGAAATTCTTTCTCTTTTTTCTCACCGACTCTGCAGCTTTTAATGGATAATATACTAGAAGCGGCCAAACAGATGACTTTTAATAGCACCTCCTACCGGGGAGCTCTCAATCCCTTTCTCCCCTCCATTTTTAAAAAATGTTATTTTTAAACAGAATAATCACTAGCACAGCTTCATTGCTCGAGCTTTTTTTTTCTCTCTCTCTGTTCAACACAATCTACTCTCTGTTTTAACATTTGGACAGCCTTTTCGTATCAAATTGGGTGGAAAAAACTCATGTTTCTGCTTCCGCGTTCATGGGAATCCCAAGTGCATTCTGGGAAATGTAGTCCTCGTGGTGGGTGGCAGAGAGCTTGTTGTTGCAGCCTGAATCAAAGTCATTCTCATATATGTTTATATATATATGTACACACACACAAAAGCACTAATTCCCCCAATTCCAAGCAAAATTTGGGGAAAGCAGAAAGAACGTTTTAAGCTTAACAAAATGCATTGCTATTTTTTCCCCTTCCCAAAGCATCGTAAAGCGCGCATGCAGTGCTCTCCAAGGCAAGATCGCAAAGCTTTTTATTTTTATTATCCTTTACCTTTTTGCTGAGAAATTCTCTCACCAAGGAGGCAGCCACCTCTTCCAGGAAAGAGGCTTCCATTGCAAAGCTCCCAGAGCATGCAAAAAAAGGGAGATCTGCGTTTGCTGGTTCAGTTTAAGGACAGGGAGAAAGGGAGAAAGAGAGAACGCCTTTGTTTTGTGCGCCTGGCGAACTGCAGCTGCACAGCTTCCAGGTCTCCATCTGCAGCCCGGCTGTTGCGTTGCCGTTGGCAGGTTGCCGTGGCGATGGAATCTTGGCCGGGAGAGCGTTCGCAGCGCCCCCTGCCGCTCCTGCGGGGGCAAGGCACCCGGCGAGGCGAGGAAACTCACCTGGGCGCGCACAGGTAAGCGCGCAAGGCAAGGTGTCCGGCGCGCCGGGCACTTCAGAGGGACCCAGCTAGTGCCGGATTTGCCTGCGAGCGCTCCAGTTGGAGAACAGCCTTTTCCAAAGGTGTCATGGGCTTTGAAGACACTCGAACTCAGGACGCAAGGAAGAAACGTGCTAAGACATGGGTTTTGACCAAACTGCGGGAAGTAGTGGAGGACAGAGGTGCCTGGCGTGCTCTGGTCCATGGGGTCACGAAGAGTCGGACACGACTAAACGACTAAACAACAACAACAAAGACATGGGTAGGCAAACGAAGGCCCGGGAGCCGGATCCAGCCCAATCGCCTTCTAAATCCGGCCCGCGGACGGTCCGGGAATCAGCGTGCTTTTACACGAGTAGAATGTGTCCTTTTAATTAAAATGCATCTCTGGGTTATTTGTGGGGCATAGGAATTTGTTCACTTTTTTTTTCTTTCCAAAATATAGTCTGGCCCCCCACAAGGTCTGGGGAACAGTGGACTGGCCCCCTTTGGAAAAGTTTGCTGACCCCTGGTCTAAGAGGAAGTCACGCTTGGCAAATCCACACCGTGATCAACTCCCGCCCGGAAACCAATGTCCCCACTGTGGAAGGACGTGTGGATCCAGAATTGGCCTCCACAGTCACTTATGGACTCGTTGTTAAAAACGTGTTTATGGAAGACAATCTTACTCGGCTACATGGGATCGCCAAAGAAGAAGAAGAAACAGCTAAAGAAGCTATAGCTTAGGGTCCCACTCTCTTCGGGGGCCCAAAAAAAATTAAAGGAGGGAAAAAACGACGTACATTTCCAAAATATAAGATAAAAAAGTACATAAAATAAAACCAACATAAAGCAACAGTGTTTTGTGTTGTGTAGGCTCCTAGGATGTAAGTCATGGGCCCCTCCTGCTAGCCTGCTCCCTAAAATATTACTGGTTTGCTCATTTCTCTATATAGGGTGCCTACATTCTGCTTTTTATAATCATTAGTGGTTTGCATCATATGTTTACACCTATTATTAATATTTGATGTTATACCAAGTGTCTAGAGACTAGATTATGAGTCTTTGCAAATTGTGTTCCTAAAGGAACTTTTGTTATTGCCAAAGTGTTTGCATTATTTAGTTTGTTATGAATAAAAAATCATTTTAAGTTAGAGCTTAATAATTATTTCACTATTAATATCCTTCTTGTTAATTGTATTTCAGTTAAACAATTACTTTGATAAAATACATATTTTGTTATGTGCAAATGGCTTTAGATACCTATTAGGTCCATAAATTAACATATAGCATATATTCAACACAAAAAACAGCAACAATTTGAGTTTAAGGCCTCATCAAACCTAAATCCGGCCCTGGACCCAGCCAAACACTAGGAAGGAGGCTGAGGGCAGAGGGGAGAAAGATGGAGGCTGCAATGCGTATCAGATGCTTTGTAAACTCCCGAGTCGTTTCTTCTCAGGAAGATATGCCGTAAGGCAGCGGAGGTTTAAGATGACTTTACCTTCATTCTCTTAGTTGGACTACCTTCCATGGGTTCAGCCGGGGGGGGGGGGGCAGGGAGGCGGTTGCCTCCCTAAATCAAAATATTTTTCTTTTTTTTCTTTATGCTTTTCAGGTTTATATGTTTCACTAATTTTACAATCATTTTAACATTTCAGAACTTGACTTCCTCCCCCCTCTTTCTGCGGTTCCTTTATTTTTAATAATAATATTTCTTGCACATTCCAAATTAACTTAATCTGCTCATTTATTCATCTACTTTAAATATATACTCTTATAAAACTGCAGGTTATTACAATAATCCTGCCAATTTTTTTTTATCTGTTTACAATCTATCTGTAAATATTCAATAAACCATTTCCATTCTTTTATTTAAAAAGTTTCTCCATTTCTGCATATTCCACAAGTTTTTGTATCCACACTTCCTTTGCTGGGACTTCTGGATCTTTCCATTTGGGGCGAGTAAGATTCTTGCCGCTGTAGTCACATACATGAATAAGTTTATATACAGTTTCGGTAGTTCTGTCCCTGTAATTCCCAAAAGAAAAGCTTCTGGTTGTTTTGTTTTGTTTTGCTTTACAAACATTTGTAACATTTGTGATATGATAGCCATGTTCAAATATATAAAAGGATGTCATATAGAGGAGGGAGAAAGGTTGTTTTCTGCTGCTCCAGAGAAGCGGACACGGAGCAATGGATCCAAACTACAAGAAAGAAGATTCCACCTAAACATTAGGAAGAACTTCCTGACAGTAAGAGCTGTTCGACAGTGGAATTTGCTGCCAAGGAGTGTGGTGGAGTCTCCTTCTTTGGAGGTCTTTAAGCAGAGGCTTGACAACCATATGTCAGGAGTGCTGTGATGGTGTTTCCTGCTTGGCAGGGGGTTGGACTCGATGGCCCTTGTGGTCTCTTCCAACTCTATGATTCTATGATTCTATGATTTCTAAAACAATCAAAATCAATACAAATTTAAACAAGACTGAGGTTCTGCCCCCTCCCCACAAAAACCTGCCCCCCCCCAACAAAAATCCTGGTCTCCCAGTGTGGCGTTTTCCCTCCTATGTGTGTGACATCATACTGGGTTCATAGGGAACGGGTTAACTAATTGTAAAATGACTAACCAATGGGAAGCCAGGGGGCAGAGTTAACTGTGTATTAAGCACAGAGAGAAATTGTTAAGAGAAGTTAGAGTTAGAGTGGTTGAGAAGACAGTCTGGAGTTAGAAGAGAGAGGGAAGATAAGTCTGTGGGTTGGGCTAGTCTGGTGTGAGAGAATTTGTTAAGAGGAGTCAGTCAGACAGTTGAGATAATCAGTCAGAAGGTATTAGGAAGGTCTAGGCCGGTAAAGAAACTAAAGTTAAGATACTGACAGGAATATTATCGGAGAAACCATAAACTTGTTAATGTTTGTAAAATAAATTGTTTTTTTTGGTTCACTTTTAACAGCTGACTGGACTCAGTGTTTTACCAGAGAGTAACTTGTTGGTAGGGATGCGGGTGGTGCTATGGGTTAAACCACAGAGCCTAGGATTTGCCGATCAGTGGTTCGAATCCCAGTGACGGGGTGAGTTCCCGTTGCTCAGTCCCTGCTCCTGCCAACCTAGCAGTTTGAAAGTACGTCAAAGTGCAAGTAGATAAATAGGTACTGTTCCGGCGGGAAGGTAAACAGCGTTTCCGTGCACTGCTCTGGTTTGCCAGAAGCAGCTTAGTCGTGCTGGCCACATGACCTGGAAACTGTACGCCGGCTCCCTCGGCCAATAAAGCGAGATGAGCGCCGCAACCCCAAAGTCAGCCACGGCTGGACCTAATGGTCAGGGGTCCCTTTACCTTTACCTAACTGGTTGGTGGCGGCAGGGAAGCGATCACAGTGGTGGCATAGGCATCAATAGACCGTTAAACGTCCAGGGACCCTGTGTGATCGGCCACAACCCCCATGCTACCTTTCCAAGTGGGTGAGCCCCTCCTGACCCTCACTTCCCTCTACAGCACATGTGGAGACCACCTTCTTGACTGTTGAACCCACTGCTGGTCTCATCCGCCATCTTCGTATGCAGGACAAGTCTCTCACTCAACGAGGCTTTGAGACCCATCGTCTACCCTCACCTGGTTTCTTCTTTGGCGATCCCTTGTAGCCGAGTAAGATTGTCTTCCCTAAACATGGTTTTAACAATGAGTCCGTAAGTGACTATGGAGGCCAATTCTAGATCCACACGTCCTTCCACAGTGGGGACATTGGTTTCCGGGCGGGAGTTGATCACGGTGTGGATTTGCCAAGTGTGCCTTCCTCCTAGCACATTTCTCCCTTCCATCCTGAGTTGGAGGGTCTTCAAAGCCCATGACACCTTTGGTAAAGGCTGTTCTCCAACTGGAGCGCTTGCAGGGAGGCCAGTGTTTCCCAATTGTTGGAGTTTATACTACATTTTTTTAAAATTTGCTTTGAGACTGTCTTTAAACCTCTTTTGTTGACCACCAGCGTTACAGTTTCCATTTTTAAGTTCGGAATAGAGTAGTTGCTTTGGAAGACGATAATCAGGCGTCCGCACAACATGACCAGTCCAATGATGTTGATCTTTGCCTCTTCCAGTACACTGACATTAGTTTGCCTGTCTTCCCAAGTGATGTGTAAAAATTTTCAGAGACACCATTGATGGAAACTTTTGAGGAGATGGAGATGGCATTTATAAGTGGTCCATGTTTCACAAGCGTACAGTAAGGTTGGTAGTGCAATAGCTTTGTAAACAAGCATTTCAGTTTCCCTGCAAATGTCCTGGTCCTCAAACACCCTGCACTTCAATCAGGAGAAAGCCATTGCTCTGTCCCAGCTTCTGCCAACTTAGCAGTTCGAAAACTCGCCAGTGCAAGTAGATAAATAGGTACAGCTGCGGTGGGAAGGTAAACGGTGTTTCCGTGCGCTCTGGTTTCCATCACGGTGTTCCGTTGTGCCGGAAGTGGTTTAGTCATGTTGGCAACATAACCCGGAAAGCTGTTGGTGGATGAACGCTGGCTCCCTCAGCCTGAAAGCGAGATGAGTGCCGCACCCCATAGTTGCCTTTGACTGGACTTAACCGTCCATGTGTCCTTTACCTCTGTTATGCTCTGGTCCATGGGGTCATGAAGAGTCGGACACGACTAAACGACTAAACAACAACAACAAAATGCAGTATTCTTGAGCGATCTGGAATGTGTCCTTCAACTCTGAGATCGAGATTGATGAGCTACTCTGCAAAGGTGGGATCTGCACTCATTGCCCCACACACTTTTTTGACCCTGACCCTGCCCGCCGCTTGCATGTGGCCCCCAGGAGGATGCCCAGAACAGAATGTGGCCCTTGGACTGCAAAGGGTTCCCTACCCCTGCCTTATAGTGAAGGTTAACAGCATCCCTGCTTTCCACCTCTGCGTT